ATTGTAGGTCCAACATCTAAAGAGCCCTAGATAAAATTATGGAAATTTCACTGGTATGACATTCCTTGTACTGACCTCAACAATAAAACTATCACAGAAAGGAAATTCTCAATTTGATCACTGCCTATTAATTTGATCACTTCCAATTAACATTGAGCAATACAAATGGGATCACTTTTTTTTTTTTGAGATTTGAGATTTGATGTTTTTTTGAATAGGGAAAAGCCACAATTTTAAATTATACTCATTAATTATCTGCTTATAACCTGCAGAGGGCACTCAAGTCCCTTGAAGAAAAGGTAAAAATTTTAAGGATTACTATTTTTAATTTCTAAAATTATCACAAAATGAATTTTTTAAACAGAAACCATCATCTAAAAAAGGACATTTAAAGGAAACTTGCAATTTGGAAATTTTTACCTCCCATAGCAAAAACCATCTTTCCATTCCTGGGCATTCGGCCATCATCTGTTAGGGCTGGAGCATCAAACACTAATCCACACTGATGTAAATCACACAAATTATTCATTGCTTAAGAAAAACCTAGACCTCCGAGTATTGGGCATACAGGGAGGCTAGTGAATGAGAGTTATACCACTGTCCTTCCCCAGGCTACCCATATTACACTGTGTACATGTATAAAACAGGTGGTAAAGAAAAAGGCTTTTAACCATTTTCTAAGACAAATCTCATGGGACCCTTAACAATTTTCATTTTAACCAGTGTCTTCAATATTGTAAACTAATGCTGTTTGCAGAGATGTCTGAATAGACAACTTTACAATATTCTTCCTGAAACAATGCTGAAATGGCTCACAGGTAAGCTCAGCTACACAGGCATGGAACATATTGCAGAAACACACAAACACCTATGTTGTATATATGTATATTCCATAATTGCATATTTTAAATTAGAGTGAATACTTTATTACCTCACTATTTATTACATGGAGCAGTTAACTACTAAAAACAGGAGTTTCTTAGCAACATAATCATGGAATCTTGCCCTCCAACACTACCGTTTACATTTTTTTCTGATCTTCCAAAGTATTTGAAAACTGGTGATTAAGTTAGAACTACAGGAGGCCAGTATGTCACAAAATTACATATGCATTTCTTTGAGTTGTTTTGGTTTATAAATTAATTATAAAACGTTTGAGTAAAAAAAGCATACAAAATTATGTAAACCCTAACTTTTATTGTAGATTACTACTAGGATAATAAGCAGCTATACAACATTTCTTAGAATGTTTTGTCTTATTTATAAAGTTATTCATTAATAAAAACAATTAAGAAAATTTTGTTACAAATAATTGTGTGTACATCATGAACACATGATAAGGAATACATCTTGACAATTTGAAAAATAAATACTACTATTGATAAGTTTCTGAAAGTGAATTCTTTGAAAAGCAGCATAAAACACATTAGAATTTTTTTCTTAGACCTGCACAGACTATTTCAAAGTTTATATATATGGGAGGAAAGATAAAGTCAAAGGCTGGAGCCACTTAAGGGAATGACTTTCACGGAGTCTGGCGATGATAGCATTAATGGGAAAAGAAATGCAGCTATTATCTTAATGAGAATATAAGGCCCTACTTCCTCAAGAGAAGAAAAGCTAACAAGATTGTGCTGCATGCTTCCCTAACTGGGCTTCTGCACCATGCATGTATTTCCTAGTGGTGCCCGGGGTGGCGGGGTGATGAGAAGACATTGCAGACTCAGAAACACAGGCGTTTTCTCAGCATAACTGTGGCCACCCCCTTGAGTCCTGGGTTATCTGGGGCAGTCAGCATGCACAGCAGCACAGGAAACAACAAGAAGCTGTACTTGGGATGTAGCCTTTGTTTCCCTCTCTTCAAAGCCTATGATTCCTAATATCATTGTTAGGCAGAGCGAAAAAGAAATGTTTGTTCTCTTACGTAAGAAATAAACTTCATTTGATATTCAGTTGACTTTCTAACTCAGCAGACAGGACTTTGCATCTTCAAAAACTGAGTATAAATTGCATTCTTGGCCCTTGCTTTCAAAGGTTACCGAGAATACACGCACGGGCTGGTAGTGTTCTAGTGATCTCCCTAATCTCAGCTGCACTTTGTCACAACGAGGTAACTGGTAGTTAAGTGAAATACCCTAGATCAAAGGGGGATTAAACACCGATTGAATCCTTGCTGAATCAACCTGTCATTCAAGAAAATTATTTCCACGGAACTTAGCAGAGGATTGAAGGTATTTGCATAACAGCGACCAACGTACTTCAGCCAGGTTAAAAGGTTCAGAATTCATCCCATGTTTAGCTTTCTGCCTCCTTTCCCTTTCAGCAGCGGGCACAATGGTTTCTAATCTGATAATACAGCTAACTATCTAAATGATGTCGGAACAGGAAAGTATTGCAAAGTTTGGATGAGGGATGGATCAATTTCACTTGCAGCAACTCCTAAATCTGATTTGTTGGAATTTAAGATGTAATCCTAAAAAAGTCCCTTAAACCTGAGGACTGTTTATTAACATCCCTTTTTTGACCTTTGTCTTAGAAACAACGCCTCCGCTATGGTGACGATCCCTGCAGAGGAGCTCAGCCTTTCTACCTCCCAGGCGCAGTAGAGGGATTTTAAATATTGTAACAACGAAACAGAAAGAAAAAAACAAAACAAAACCAGCAATGGTTACTATGTGCGAAATGTCTGCTGTCAAGCATGGCACATGAAATCTAAGACCACAATATTGTAACAGTAGAAATACTGAGATGGCATGAAGAAAGAAAAAAGATTTTGAGATAGTCTAAAGTTTAAATAAAATTCTCCTGAGATTCCTGAGGAACCTGTTTGCTTACTTCCAAGTTGACAGGCTTAATTATTTTAACAGTATAAAACATCACCACTGTTTAATACTACACCGAGGGCTTTACAATATTGCTTAGTTAAAAAAAAAATGGAGAACAGGTACCCAAGATCATGACCCATCTTTTCTAGAGTTCATTCTCAGACATCTAAAACTTTCTTTAACCCTTTGGGTTGAGTAAGAATAATTAAGGCATATATACCAGATCTCCTAACTGCATTTTGGCACTAAAAGAGAATTTAGCAATGCTGGACCTAGAGCAGGTCTGACACCATCCGAAGCTGTCACAGGAAGTCGATGCTCATATTCACTGCAAAGCACCTTTCAAGTTAAAAAAATGCAAAGAATAGCTATCAAAGAAAATGAATAAAATCCATAGTGAGATAATTTTTTAGAAAATGATTGAAGTTTTAACCAAAGAAAGGACTCTTAGAGTGTCTTATAGCTTAGAATAAGAACATGTCAATCACGATTAAGCTTCTGGAATCGGAATCCCTTTGAAATGCAGCTGTTTCTTCTTTAATTGTGGCAGTGGACTCTGAAGAAAAGAAAGGTCCAGCCTTAAAGATGAGTAAGGAATACAAAATAGCTCAGGATTAGTTGTGGAGTTCAAAGGTCGCTAATTACACTAAGGAGTTCCCAGACACAGGGAAAACATTAAACAGGTCACCTACCAAACTGGGAACAAGCTTTGTCTTCAGAAATTATCCTGAAGTGACAGGTTTCTAGACAAAATCAAAAGCATCAGTGTGCCCAGCTGATCTCAATGGGATGAAATGTGGGCTGGTGTTTAGTTCCCTAGTGTCGTGTTGGAACGGAACGGCAACAGATGGCACTAGTTCGCCATCACCCCCATGCTTTTCTAGGAACCCCTAGGTTTGCCCCAGGTTTCTAGAAATGTCAAATTAGAGGTCACTGGTTTTTCTAATTTGTTTATGAAGAGAGTTTGCCTCAAGGATTATATACTGAATCTTTCCCTACTCAGTAGATGAATGTGTCTTGTCTACCTTAGTATAATTTGCTAAGCATTTATACAGTCAAAATTTCCAAACAGCTCCACTAATAAAGTAAAATGTTAAGCTTTGAGTTGAGGAGTGACAAAAACCCATTATGGAGCAGTGCTTTCTTCTCACAAAAGAACTTCTACCGCTGACTCCCATCGGGTGAAAAGGGACAGTAAGTTAATGTCCTGGTCAGGCAATTCCTCTCTCCTCTTTACTTAGGATGACTGTGAAAACAGAACTTTACTCTGTAGCAGTGCTCTGCAGGCAATGAGGGTTCATAATGAGGAGGACTGATCCTAATTGAAACTTTATTTCAAGTCCTAAGTTTATACACTTTGCCTCCAGTGACTGTGACTCTCCTTCAAAGGGTCAGCAGCTTTTTCTAAGCCTGTTTTTAGAAGATTCATAAAAAAAGACAAAAAGGAAATAGAACCCAGGGTAAATCTAATTAGATATTAATCTGTAACTTTTTTGGGGGGTTAGGCTTCTAACTTTGACATCAATTAAAGTCTAGGATTTTGAGACTTCTTTTTTATTTAAATGGTCACTTAAAGTCCAACTTGATGACAACACACGGCTCTCAAGCAGACTATGATGTGTGGGTAAAAATGGGTAGACGATAAAGAGATGGTTTTGAAAGACTCAAGAAAATGATAAAAGGAAAACAGCAGGGACAGACTTAAATACGTGTAAATGATTATTTTTGCCCATGAAAAGGCTTTTGAGCATTTACCTGAGTTCATTCATTAACAAATGTTAAGTAAAAAATAAAGAGTATAATATCTCAAATTATTTTTAATACTTTGTCCTAGGACACTCAATAATCATAGATCACCATGCTCATCTTCTGAGTTACTGCAGCCTTCTTAGGCCGACAGGCACCCTAAATGCACAGCATTCTGGCAGATTATTAAGTTAGTTAAAGGAGCCTGAGGGGGGTTAGCATCATAACTCAGCTGGTACGGTGCTTGCCTGGCATGCCTGAAGCTGAGTTCAATCCCTACAAGGGCCTAAGTTGGACATGGTGATACACCATTTTAAACCCAGCACTAGAGAGGAAGTTCAAGGTCATCCTTAGCTACACAGTGAGTCCCAGGCAGTCTGGGCTGCATAAGACTCAGTCTCAGAAAGCAAGTAGCTCTAGAACAACAAATAGAATTATGCAGGCTCTTTATTGGCCAGTAGGAGATGAGATGAAGAACAGGTTACTATTTGAACATTATCTGGCTGCTTTGAAAGAAAGGATTTATGATTATTTTACCAAGATCCTGGGTATTCTGCAATAGCATGATGCATGATGTCTGTGTTGCGGTTGGATAAGCACAGTTTACTTGCGAGTCGGCGACAACCCGCAGGACAGCTGCCTGAAGCTGCACTAGGAGAAGGCTGAGCTCTTGGTCAAGGAAGGCACTCAGGTTGATTAGCACTGTCTGCCCCACAGGACGCCACAGATGGACCTGTCCTGGCTGGGACTGAGCCGGATAGAGGCACAGGAAAGAACACATGGCGTGGAGAACCAAGCCTGGTCTTAAGTCAAAATGAATCACTACTTTTATGTGTGTGTTCTGAGTCATAATGGCATGAAGTCAAAGGGTAACAAAAAAATGGAGACATTAGCCTTGAAAATAGTCTTTCACACTTTATCAGACTAAAAACATTAGGTATGACTGCTTTGATAAAGGAATCACTCAGTGATTTTTCAGTCACGGGTTATACAAATACATGTAAAGAAATAAAAATACTAGGACTCTACTACTGAAGGTTACCATCATATAAATCCCATTTGAATATAAAAAAAGTCATGGTAACAATGATGCATATGTTACTGGAGCAGGTGCTTTAGAATTCCAGATAAAATAGTCAGAAGAAATTAGCCTCCGATCTACAAAGGAAAAAGAAAAGAAATTAATGACAGTAATGTTTAATCTTAGCAAAAACCCAATTAGAGAACAAAGCTATCAGTTTTTGAGTTTGTGGAGTACAGTCATGTCATGGTAATAACTTTGAAGTGTTAATATTTATTTTACTCTATTGAGGCTTTATTGCTACTTATATCCTATTAAAATGAGCTCATAAACATTTGAGCTAACCACACTACAACTTATATGAAATCTTTTATTTATACCAAATGTTTATTTTTCCCATATCTCTAACTGATTTTCTAATGAGCCATTACTTTCTTCTTGGTTTTCTTTTATGACCTCTACCAAGTCCCAAATTCTAGTCATAGTCATCACTCAAATCAGAGAGCTGGAAACACTAATCACCGGACTTTCTCACAACACTCTCAGGCTCATTTCCTGGTTTCTCATGGATTGGCTCCAATTTAAGCATTGTGTTTTTATCAGCTCTGCAACTCTTAACAAATGGCAACCTCCTTGAACTAGTTTCTTAGCTATAAAACTGATAAAACTATGCTTACTTAGAAACATACACATTTTTATTACTGTCACCGACTACATAATCAGCTTCTCTACCTTTCTTTATGCTCTTCAAAATGAACACAATAGAGGCTACCTTAGTGACACAGGGAGGCAGCATAGTACACTGTTAAAAGGACAGGCACCATGCCTAGTTGCCTGTGCTTGAATCTTAGGCATGCCATTTACTAGCTATATAACCCTTACCTCATCTCTGTTCCATCAGTGTCCCCAGCCATAAAATAGGATACCAACATAGAAGGTGTGACGAGACTTACTGAGTTAACGTACATAAAACACACACACAGTTGGTGAAAAATGCTACTATTAAAATTAACATTTCCACTAAACTATTTGCGGAACCAAGTTGTTTACTCAGTATGAGGCAAAATCAAAGTTTGAAGGAATAAAAGGATAGGTACAATGATTCATTTGAAATGAACTCTTACATTCAGTATGTTTGGATGAAGGGCAAGTAGAAGCTGTGCCTGGTAGTATGCGTCTATAATCCCAGTACTTGGGAGTCTGAGGCAAGAAGATTGTGAATTGGAGGCCATCCTGGGCTATATAGTTGAGATCTTACCTCAATAAACGAATAAATAAATAATCAGGCATATTACTGATGTATTAAAGAACAGGTATATTATAGGAACTTCCTATTCATTATTATGCTTTCTGAAACATGTGTTTAGTAAATATTAAAAAAATACTTCAACATATTTTAGTTATTACCTTAAGAGATAACACCTCTCACAGAAGATGAAAACTATTCACCTGTATTTAGATCAGTGATAATTGTTCACTATTACACTTCCATAAAAGAGCATACACACTAGGAACATGCCTTCACCAATTCATCTAAGAACAGCAAAAAGCTCTAGAGGACATCACAGAGATCACTATGGTGTTTATCTGACCCCACTGCACAGAACGCCTGCCACTCACAGAGACTGCCTAGACCCTGTGCTTCAGACGTGCCTACTTCTTTTGAAGCATTCAGGCACAAACTCTTGTCCCACCCTTCCAATTTTTAGGGACCTTAATGCTGAGTCTTAGACATCTAAGTCTGAGGCTAGGGGTGTAGTTCAGTGATAGGACACTTGCCAGGCATGCACAAGGCCTTGAGTTGCTTCCCAAGCACTGCTCAAACCAACCAACAAACAAATGTACTTAAATTTGAGAACTTTTACAAATGGGGTTATTCCTATCTATCTATATAATCTGACATTCTTCTCACGCCCTACCTTTACCTATCTACTTTTCTATGCCACCTATATGAATTAAATAATTTTAAGTTTTGCTTTTCATCTCCTGATGTATTCATCTAAAATATACATATTTTTTCACATAAAGTATTATGCATATGTACATATACATGCATTTTACAACCAAAAAAGTCAATGAAGTCAAGAAATCATCTTTCTATTGCTTGCCCATTGGTAGGGCAGATAAAGTGATAATGTTTATTGGCTATGGGATTTACTAAAAATAACTTACATTTTAAAATAATAATCACTTCTATTAATTATTAAATTTTATGTTAAGCTACATGCTCAATAAATGTAATTTATTCATAAATATTGTCATTTCTACTTCAGTAACTTTTTTATCACATTAAAAGAAACCTAGTATGTATGGTGTATTTGTGTGTATGTGTGTGTGTGTGTGTGTGTGTGCGCACATGAGTATCACAGGTCAACTTTTAGGAGTCAGTTCTCTTCCACGGTGTGGGACCCATGGATAGAACTCAGGCCATCACACTTGACAACAAATGTCTTTACACATGAGCCATCCGACTGGTCCTGTTGGAACATAGTTTAAGAATGGAGTTGTGTGATGGGAATTTTGAGTGAAAACTCCATGAAAACAAGACAAAAGTTTTGTGACCTCAGTTTCTTCAAAAAGATGGAATTATTCTTGGAATGTGTCTTTATGACACTCCCAGGTCTGTAGTGGATGAGTCGAGTTTACTTTGGATTATTCATGACAGTTGGTTATTACTGTTTATACACCACTATGGAAAAATAGGTTTGCCAATGTGTGGCTTGTCTACCACATGTGGCTGTCCTTGCGAATGACACTTGCGACTCCTCTTAACCTTAGCCTATCAGCTGTCTGATGCTCTGAATAAAGTTGGCTGTTGGGTGAGACTTTAGTCACCCTCGTTTTTAAGCTCTTCTCCTAGGTCCCACCACTTTTAGAACACTAAAGGGTCCCCTATTACTTCTCCTTAATAAAAGCTTAAGACATTCACTACAGCTCTAAGGCATTCACTAGCATTTTCAAAGTTACATATATTGGAGTCAGACGAGAGTTTAACATGACCAGAGCAAAGCAAATTCATATTTACTATATACTAAGGCCACACCAATTGGGTCCTGCTTCTCCAGACTCTATTTAAACAGAAGCCAGAGGTCAACATAAAGTGCATGAAGGGCCATGTGGGAGAGGACCAAAGCAGACATTTTCATCAAACGGGATTCGTTTCCAATGTCCAAGTCCCATTACACTGTGATTGTGCCATAGGCAGAGACAGTGCAGCACCGTTTCCACTCTGCGTAGTTTGGATCCGTACAACTTACATGCACTGATCTTTGCTTTTCCTGACGCAAAAACTTGAACTGAATGCTGATCTGCGTAACAGCCAGTGAGCGTATAATCTGAGATCCTAAAATGAAGCTAGGAAACGAGAGAGCCCATTGAGTGATTATTTGCAAGAATCCTGACCACCCTTTCCCTCACGGTGGTTAGAGCTTCACCCGATAGTTCACGAAGTTCAGACCCACACACTGAAGAACAGTAGTGCAGACACATAGTAACACGTGCATACCTGCTCTGACCAGCGCATTTCTTTGTGAGTGCCCAGTACACAGCACACAGTGAGGTACTTAGTGCTCAGTACACAGCAGCACACAGTGGGGTACTTAGTGCTCAGTACACAGCAGCACACAGTGGGGTACTTAGTGCTCAGTACACAGCAGCACACAGTGTACTTAGTGCTCAGTACACAGCAGCACACAGTGAAGTACTTAGTGCTCAGTACACAGCAGCACACAGTGGGGTACTTAGTGCTCAGTACACAGCAGCACACAGTGGGGTACTTAGTGCTCAGTACACAGCAGCACACAGTGGGGTACTTAGTGCTCAGTACACAGCAGCACACAGTGGGGTACTTAGTGCTCAGTACACAGCAGCACACAGTGGGGTACTTAGTGCTCAGTACACAGCAGCACACAGTGGGGTACTTAGTGCTCAGTACACAGCAGCACACAGTGGGGTACTTAGTGCTCAGTACACAGCAGCACACAGTGGGGTACTTAGTGCTCAGTACACAGCAGCACACAGTGGGGTACTTAGTGCTCAGTACACAGCAGCACACAGTGGGGTACTTAGTGCTCAGTACACAGCAGCACACAGTGGGGTACTTAGTGCTCAGTACACAGCAGCAGAGCATACATCTGAACTCAGAACTGTCCTTTCTGCTGTGCCGTCTGAGAGATCATAGTGTTTTCCCCTTAGAAGACTATCTGTGATAAATTTAGACCACGTTCTTCTTTTAATTAATTGATTTTTACGTATATTGGTGGCTTGCCTGCACTGGGTCCCTGAAACTGGAGCTGCAGCAAGTATGAGGCACCGTGTGGTGCAGGTGGGAATGGAACCCGAGTCCCCTGAAGGGTGGCAGCACGCGCTCTGTGTGACTGTGCCACCTCTCCAGGCCCAGTCACACTCTTTCACATGCAGGAATCTATGTGCTCTCTATAAAGCACATACATGCAATCATGACAAGAACTATCAGTTTATTTCATGCATGGGGAAGTGGGCTGCTCTACTTCATTTTTTTGATAGCCAAAATATACCTTTTACAGAACTATTATCGAGTTATCCCTTCCCTCATCTAGAAAACCTTTCTAAAATATAACCCACAGCTCTTGGATTCCATAGGTGATGCTGGGCTGTCAATCATGGTGAAGGCCAGCTCTACACTGTGCTGTGATGATGAGGTTCTAGTACCTTTCTAGCCAACTTTTGCTGTGGTCCTCATCTGTGTTGGTAAACACCTCATTTAGCAGGATCCTGCTATCTTTTCAACACCTCCATCTCCACTAAACCAAGAGCCTGGCACATTCTTGGCAAGCCCTCCATCTCTGAGTTACGTCCCAAATCATATACTTTTTCTCCTCTCTTCTCTGCAGATTTCTCCCATTTTGTGTGCATGCAAGTATAGCAATTTTTAGACTGTGACAACCTCTTTCTTACAGCAGTTCACATAGTTTGAAAGCGAGGAGCTTGTGCTTGCTTCAGGGTTAGAATTCTCAGTGCTGAAGTCAGGTCTATAAGGTCCATTTCCATATGTATGCTTTTATTATATATTATATGCCTTTGATTACACTGAAACTGGTTAAGTGAAAGAAATGAATAGAAAATTCTAAAAACTACCCTTAGTTTTACAATGTAGTAGCATTTCATTTTTTTTTCTGAAAAAAAAATCAGGATAATAAGCCTTAAAACAAGTAGTAGGCAAAGTCAAAGCTAACACAGGAAAAATTAATTCTTTGCAGTGTATTCCCAAGCTCACTACTGTTGCTTTTATAGATATTTATCTTGCATCTTCAACTTCTCTGAGAGCATCCTCTTTTCCTGTAAACTTTCTGGTTATTCCTTCAGTTTCCCTTATCGATTCTTCTAGATATTTCCTTTATTTCTATGATCTTATTTATTTCCTTGTATCAACCTTTTCTTTTCAATGGGTACTCCTAAATCCTTATACAAGGTGGATCTCCCATGTGAATCAAATTTTGGGGTTTTGTCTATCTGTTAGGCACTTACATTAAGACATGCTTCTATTACCAAATATACATGCATGCATGCATGCATACACACATATTCAGCAGGTATTTATGTACTAGGCACTGGACCAGAGTTGAGGATAAAACAAAGAACAAATAAGACTCATACAGTATCTGCGTCATGCACTTTACTTGAATCCATTGCAGATTAACTCATAAACGAACCATTTGAAAAACTAAATAAAATATCAACCAAAGGAATAGAAGATGCACATCATCTATACCCCCAACCTAAATCACTTGTCCTTCCTACGTAGAACTTACATTCCTAGCACTGGCTTCTGAACCCTGTTTACCTCTTTTCACTCTCTGAATCCCTTTAAAAAATATTTACTGTTTACAGGCATGTATATTAACACGTGCTGTGCTATGCGTAAGCACAGGCACAAACAGGCCATGTGTGGATGTAGAGGTCAGAGGACATTCTTTCCACTCTGCGTTCCAACTGAGGTTAATGCTTTGACCACTCGGCCATCCTGCTGGCCCTTAACCCATTTTCCAGATGAGGATATTAGTCAGCTTTCATGATTATTTTATTTTGTCCTAGAGTTTCCTGTGGTCAGGACTCATGGTTTCTCTGAGGCACCAAAAGCAGCGAGTCCTGACCAGTCAGTCACCAATCTGCACTATTGACAATGCCCTAGAGATCAAGGGCTGCATCTTACCTTTGAATACAAATCTAATCTGGTAACTAAGAGCTGGGTAGTTTAAATTGGAGTGCTTAGGTTATTCTTAACTACTTTCCTGAAAATTTGAGTATTTAATGAGACAGGAAAAGGACCACTACTGGTCAAGTGTGGTGTTTCATGATTATAATCTGAGGAGAGGCTTAAAGTCAGCTAGTGTTACGTAGAGATTTGGAGGTTTGGGCTAGGTTGGAGATTCTGTCTTAAAAAAAAAAAAAAGAAATTAAAAGAAGCACAGAACTGCCTCCCATCCCAACAAATGTTTCTAAAACGGAGCTTAGCTACACAAAAGGCACAGAATTTTTTAAAAATGCTAGAAAACACTAAAATTCAAATATACATGCAGTTTAGAAATGAATTCAGGGTTTTGATGCAGTGTCTCATAGTTTACCTTTACATATGCTGTATTTCCAATGCAAATGTGATCAAATGGCTGCTTGTTATGGCCCTTGACTCCAAACATTAGAGTCCCAGAAAGACTCATTTCCATTGATTTGGGGAACTTCTGACCTAAAACACAAATGTACCAATCAATTATTCTAAAACAGAAGATTCTACAGCAAATGAGAAAAAAAAAATCAATAAACAAAACCTTGCTCACCAATAATCCAGACCAATAAACTTTTTTCTCGAAATACCTCAAGTTGACCAAAACTAACTTTGTATTCCACATGGGTAATTGGACCTCTTTGAAAAAAGAAGAAGAAAACAGAAACAAAAAAATCTTAGACATAAATTTTAAAGTGATGAATCAAATCTTGTTACTTTTATTTACAGTAGAAAAAGCAAATGTGTATTCCAACTTCGGGAGAGAATGAATAATGAATACAGCTCTTAGCAAACAGCAGACATCACATGAACATTCACAGTAACTATGAACTACAATAGTATCTCTAGAGACAATCATAAAATATAGATTATATCCCTACCACAAGTATTGGTACAGCATTAAAATTGTAATTTTACTAATTAAGTGCACTTTGTAAAGAGCTACACTGCAGAATACATTGTAAAAATAGAACTGATTTATGCTCTAATTGGTGAATCCACCAGACTGTTAGTGGTTAAGACTGGTTTCTATGTAGACTTCAGGGAAACTGAGAGAAATAAAACCAGTGGCACAATAGTCCTTGAGGAAGTTACACTCACTTAAACTTGAAATTTACTTGAGAGCTTAAGTAGAAAGAATGAGGTGCCATTTAAAGGCAAATAGATTTTTTTCACAACTACATTTTAGTTCGGAATCAATATTCACTTAAATAACAAAACTATTTAGATTTTTAAAATATGCTAAGTGAAGAGACACTTTATTGTGGGGCAGTAGGATATACAGAGAGGACAGAAATCATGGTGTCATAGTGTTTGTCCCTACCTGTTGTAAAAAGGTATATGAGCTTCACAGATTTCAAAGTTATTTTTTACACTTTCATGAAGTTTTAAATTAACTGTTATTTTTAGTTGTGCTTCTTCTTCTTTCATGTGATAGGAGCCCAATATTGGTGGGACGGGGACCTGAAAACAGACGTGACTCTTAATGTAACTCTCATGCTACAGAGTCTGCGACACGGACGGTGGCAGGGGAAGAAAGGCCTGTCGTCATATGTTATTTACCAGATGCACACACATGTTAGAGACACAGAAAATGCATACTTTATAACGTATTTTAAAGTATAGTATGGACTTTGAAACTAGAGGGCTGCTCTGCATTGCTTTCACAGCAGCACTGGTGGGTCTACATTCATCCTGAGGGCAGACTCTTCTACCGCTCTGAATAGAGGTGAGGAAGCTGTCTTACAGCACACACTTGTTCCTGCTCTTGCTCTTCCGTGGAGCACAGGCTGTCTGTCCTCTACACATACTGATGACTGCTCGGCCCACAGTTCCAGACGCTCCTTTCCTATCCTGTGACTACTGTTTCTCCTTTCCAGGCCCTGGGTCAGTAACAGCTTAACTGGTCATTAACGACTGACTCAAGAGGCAATTGTCTGTTCGCTGGTGTGAGCTAATCATCTTACTGATGCATCTGAAACAAGACACAGGGAGATGCTGTCTTATATGTAGGTCCTAGAGCTGTGAGAGCATGCGCAAGCAGAGAAACCCAAAAGACAGGGAGCTCTGGGAAGGAGAGGCGAGACAAGGGAGCTGCCAGTGTAGAATGATTTTAACTTTGCTTCTAATTCTCAGGGAGCCTAGATCTATTTCTTCTCTTGAGTAATGAGAATTCTGTTGACCTTCCAAAATGAATTACTTCTAGTCAACTTGGCTTGAACAGGGTTTTCTAATCTAACTGCGTGTCAGGCTTCGGGGATTTGGAAGACCTGGGTTCAAACCCAGGCTCTGCCACTTATCAGAGGATTGTGTGCAAATCATTTAACTTCTCTAAGACTTTCACCATCTATAAAATGGAGATAATAACATCTATCTTACGATTTGTGGAAATTACTAGAAAAAGACACACAAAGAGTCCCGACCCTCGCTCCCACTCGCCCCAGTAAGCATAGATAGCTACTGCTAATATTACATGTTTAGTTAGCTAAGATTTCCTGGGGTTAGAGTTATTTTGTGTTTGTATTCAAAACCATGATTAAATCATACCAGGGTCTATCCTGTGACCTTGGATTCTTAGCTAAAGATTAAAAAGAAAAAACTTCATTGACTTTGAAAATTAATGCTGCTGCAGACATCAGATATAAGAAAGTAGCGTATTCAAAGAAGCAGACTTTTATCTTCACCCATCCCTTCCCGTCTTGTAAAAACTCATGGAAAATTCTCCTCAAGGAGCATTTGCCAGTGCATCAGCAAAGTCTCGACTTTTCCGAGACAGGTTACCTGAGAAGTGTAGTGACATAGGTTGAAGGACTCTAGAGGCGGAGTGAAGGGGAATTTATAAGGCCCACTGAATGCAGAGTCGTCCATTGTGTCAATGCTGCTGGAAGTCAGAATGGCCGAGTCAAGAGACGTCACACAGGGATGAACGATGATATCCTGAAGTGGAGATCCATTGGTGGGAAGATTCAGGCTGACGGTAACGTTTGGCATGATTCCTTCCAAATCGCACTGCAACGCAGGCAGAAACGGGTATTAGCAAGGTCTTACCACAGGGCCGCTTATCTGAGGCTTCTCTGCGTTCAAGCCACTTCCCCCATTTAACTCTTCTCTCTAGGCATTATTCTCTTTGCTCTGTTTTCTGATTATCAATTTGATACAGCTAGCCAAGTCAGTGGTGGGGGAAGCGTCACAGACCCCTTGGCTCACCTTTAAGCTCCTATAAAAGCCAGTTCAAATCCACTGGTCTCTCTCAGGCCCCTCTGCCACCAGGCCCTTACAGTATTACAGCTAACCTGTGAGTCACCACCCGCTTGGGGGGCAGAACAATGGCTTCTACAGGGGGAGCATATCAGATATTCTGCATAACAGATATTTACATTACGACTCATAACAGTAGCAAAACTGCAGTGATGAGGCAGCGGTGACAGTAACTTTATGGCTGCGGGTCAGCACAAGAACCCTATGAAAGGGACACAGCGTTAGGAAGGTTGAGAACCACTGCTCGAGTCCCTCCAGCCTTCATCAACGCCAGTCACGTTGACGAATGATAATTCAACCTTTGTTATGTTGAATCCAGACTAGACATTTCAATGGTTCCTCTTTCATTTGGTATACTTAAGTCTTTCACTGCTCGGTTCCCATCTAACTGCAACCTTCTACCCCTTGGTGTATGTCACAAACAGAAGTCTTGCATTTTTTCTGAATAAACCATCCACACTGTCTTGTACTTTCCCATGTCCCTTAACTCCAGTCCTTGCAGATGTGTTTCCTCCCTCCACGGTATTTCCCTTAGTCTGGAGTGATCACTTTCCGGGTGAGCGCACTTGCAGCCAATCTTGACCGTCTGAGTTTGATCACCAGGACCCATAGAGGAAGAGACCAACTCCCCCAAGTTGTCATCTGACCTCTCACACTTTTAACCCACACACAAAAACAGAAGGTTTGAAAGAAAGCCTTGCCCTCTTCACGCCTAGTTCATTTTGTGATTGTGTAAGCCTTACGCTGAGCCACAATGCTGATGTCTACTTTTGCCTGGAGACACAGGGTCTTCTTCCCTGTGTGTTGGGGTTAGTTTGCCAATGACAGGGTAACCAGGAAGGATCTCATTATCCTTGGAGGTCAGGGAAGGCAGGCAAGAGAGCTCCATAGGTCTTTCCATGAGCTCCTACATTACAGCCAACAGGGCCAGATGGAGTGCTTTTACAGCCCTCTCCTTAAACTCCTGCTTTGAGGCCCAACAGACTGAAATGGCAGCTCGCAGAGACTTGTCTGCGAACTCCTCTGCCTATTTCAGTCTCCAGAATGAAGTCCTGAGTGACTTGTTTCTGTGATCTAAAGAGATTTATTCCCCAGCTCCTCCGGTACTTGAGCAGTCTTAATGTCTTCATAAATTCCTTGTGTGCGTATAAATGTGGGTATAGGGAGAGGAGTCTTCCTTTGTACCTTAATTCTAACTTGACATTTACTTTGTTTTAAATTATGTTTACGTGTGCGAGTCTACGTGTGGGTATGTGCAGGGAGAACAGTGTCTGTGGAAGCCACACCCAGAAGACAGTGGATTCCTGGGAGCCGGAGTTACAAGCCATTAGTTGTGAGCTGCCTGGTGTGTGTGCTGAGAGCCAAACTTGGGTTCTCTACAAGAGCAGTAAGCACTCTTATTTGCTGAATCGTCTCTCCAGCCCTTATTCACTTTGTAAAGTACTGGAGCCAAGTAGGCAAATGAACCATAAAAGTTCAGTGGCATTGTTTGGTTAGACACACAAGGCATTTATTTAATAGTAGGCCTCAGCAGGCAGAATGCTTACGTCTAGATGTTATACGGTCTGCACCATGTAGTGACTACTTGTAACTATGCAATTTGTGCTTCTTTCTATTTGTTTCCCTCTTGTAGATTCAAAGCAAGAGATGTTCTGGGCTTCTTTGTATATCCATTGCTATTCATAGGAGATCCTAAAAACGTTTCCATTTTATACCCTTTTTAAATTTTTAGCCTTATTCTTTCCCAATGTTAACATAGAGTCTTTCACTTTGGAATGTTTTAAATGTGTGCTTAATTTTATGGTATGTGTGTTTGCCTAAGTGTATGTATGTGCACCACATACAAGCAGGAGCCCCCAGAGGTCAGAAGAGGGGTCAGATCCCCAGGAACTGGAGTTAGGGAGTTGTGAGTACCATGTGGGTGCTGGGATCCCCAGGAACTGGAGTTAGGGAGTTGTGAGGACCATGTGGGTGCTGGGATCCCCAGGAACTGGAGTTAGGGAGTTGTGAGGACCATGTGGGTGCTGGGATCCCCAGGAACTGGAGTTAGGGAGTTGTGAGGACCATGTGGGTGCTGGGATCCCCAGGAACTGGAGTTAGGGAGTTGTGAGGACCATGTGGGTGCTGGGATCCCCAGGAACTGGAGTTAGGGAGTTGTGAGGACCATGTGGGTGCTGGGATCCCCAGGAACTGGAGTTAGGGAGTTGTGAGGACCATGTGGGTGCTGGGATCCCCAGGAACTGGAGTTAGGGAGTTGTGAGGGACCATGTGGGTGCTGGGATCCCCAGGAACTGGAGTTAGGGAGTTGTGAGGACCATGTGGGTGCTGGGATCCCCAGGAACTGGAGTTAGGGAGTTGTGAGGACCATGTGGGTGCTGGGATCCCCAGGAACTGGAGTTAGGGAGTTGTGAGGGACCATGTGGGTGCTGGGATCCCCAGGAACTGGAGTTAGGGAGTTGTGAGGACCATGTGGGTGCTGGGATCCCCAGGAACTGGAGTTAGGGAGTTGTGAGGACCATGTGGGTGCTGGGATCCCCAGGAACTGGAGTTAGGGAGTTGTGAGGGACCATGTGGGTGCTGGGATCCCCAGGAACTGGAGTTAGGGAGTTGTGAGGACCATGTGGGTGCTGGGAACCAATGGCAGATCCCCTGCAAGAGCAGTGAGTGCCCTCAACCACTGAGCCATCTCACTTTGTAATAGGCACTCCACCATTTAACACACAATTCGTTAGCCTGTCTACTTCAGACGTAAGTATTTCAACAGTAAGCAGGCATTCTGAACTTGGCTGGGGTTCAATCAGTAGTTTAGAATGGTATTTTCTTCCTTCTTTGTGACAATTACAAGAATATCAATCAAATTTCAAATCCGAAAGTTAAAATGTCAACTCTTTTTAATAGTGAATTTAAAAATATGTGCTATATATTATTACATTTGCATATTAGTAAGAATAAAATATTTTGGTTTTTGTTACTTGAGACAATAAACACAGATATTAATAGTAAATAGTATTAAAATTTAAAACATCATTTTTGTTCATTAAATTATTCCCTAGCAGTATATCTATCATTCACAATGGGATCAAAGAAACTGCACCATTATAGAAAGCTTCAATAAATTGCCTACTATCTAGTCACTTATAATACCATAAGCACAGGTTGAAGATTGCCATTCTTGAAGGAATCTCTATACTGCTTTTTAAAACAGTTTCGCATCTGTGAATCTGGACCTCAGAACTAGGAACTATAAAAGCAAAAGGCACATAAAAAGTAATTTTACATTAAAAAAGATAGAAGATTTATAAGTTATGTGACTTTGTAAGGACATGGGACATTTAGAAATAAAGGACAACTTCAGAGAATATTTAGTGTTAGGTTGAGGTATACTCCATTGTCCCTCCCCACTTCAGAACAGTTTTTAGAAGATTACATTGATTTATCTTAGTGTATTTGAGCATGTATGTGTGTATATGTATGTGTATAAGCATGTTGCAAGCAGATATTGAGCCTTAGTCAGGTCTTCAGGTGATAATGGCTCCAACAACATCCTGACTATAGGCTCATGGGATTCTACACTGGAGGTTCCCAGCTAAGCTGCTCCTAAAGTTCTGACCCACAGAAACTATGAAGAAAATGTCTATTTTAGAGCAATGGGACAATTCATTACATAATAGTCATTAAGTAAACAATGTGTGAAAACTACAGAAAGATAACATAAAATTTCATGGCTGCTAAGGATAACAAGCATATCATTTAAAAATGTAAAATACAAGCTGCATAATGTACTATCCTTCGGTTAAATGGTATGACAAGGCAAATCTTGGAGAAAAGCTCACCTTGCAAGTGACTGTTCCGACAACCTGCCATGTGTCTGCTATATCCTGTTTACCATACTGCATGCATTTTACTTTTTCAGTGATAGAAATAGAAATCTGTGGTTTTCCTTTGTATGTTCCAACTTTCCAGGCTGGCTGCTTTTGTGGCTGAGTCACAGGTGAGAAATTAATACTAGTCAATGAATTCTGCAAGTTAGCATCCAGTAAAGTACCCAATGGACAAGCCTGGAGAAGCAAGTCAGGCAACTGACTCAATTTTGTGTTCAGGTCAGTGTCATTTTTCTGATTTGAGTAAAGAAAATCCTGTATCCCAAAGAGCAGTTCCAAGCCTTGTGAAACTCCACTAATACTAATTAGGGATGGACGAGGAGACAGAGCTCGCTCAACTAGTGGAACACTTGCGTATATCATATCATCCCTCAGAAAAGCAACGACTGGCCAGAGTTCTTCACCGCCCACTAAGAGCTCATAGACGGGTGACTTATTGATGTGCGAACAGCTATCACGCCTCTCCACAAAGTCTTTGTCATCATCCAGTAACCTAAGTTGAAAGAGTAATGCCTTAAGAAAGGGACCGTCTTCGGGTACAGGAACATAACTCTTCCCATTGAAGATTTTGGCTCTCTTTTCAACAGTAGGATATCGTCTGCATTAGGGAAACAGAAACATTACAAATGGCTCTTCCAAGTAAAATCAATGAGAGGATTAAAAGGCTTTCAAACAGAAGGCAAACAGTCATAATTATAAAACACAAAGCAACAAATTAGTAACATATACTACCAAATGAAAACCCCTGAACCATTAAACATGCTAACTTCTGACTGGAACAAGAGCTTCATATTTACTATGTTATCTCCAATGATAAGATGTACCACGTACTATGGAAAATGACTGAACCAATTTAATTAGTTTTTTAAACAGGTAGAGTACATGCTTCTAATTCAAAACCTTTGCTTTTTAGCCACTCAGATTCCCTCTTGGTAGATGGCATGGTTAACCTGAATGTCAACTTGATGGGATTTAGTGTTGTGGGATATTTGATTGCACTGTGAAACTCAGACTGTGTTAATAAAATTAACGTTGCATCAGGCAGCGGAGTCAGAGACAAGTTGACAAGAACTAGCCACAGAGAGTATGGAGGACCCAGGAACAGAGATAGAGAGAAGCACAGAAAGGAGCAGGGAGGGACTTTGAGATTCAGGGTCTCTGGTTTGAGGTGAGTGGAGAGACGCTTCTCTTGCTGGGTCTCCAACCAAAAGGGAAGGGCAGCTGGTTGCTTCTTGGCTTCTTTGATCCAGCAGGTTTTCACCCCAACATCTGATTCCCAAGGCTTTGTTAGTAAATAGAACAATAGAGACTTAGTTAAAGCCTTTATTTGGTGGCTGCAGCCAAGCTAGTGGACCGGAAATCCCGCCAGGCTGCAGTCTGGTGACTGCCGGATGGCAGGATGCAGAGAGAAGTTAAAATAGCGGTAGATTGAAGAGCAGCCACTACGCCAACAGAAAAACAGTTTAGTCTGCATAGAAACCTGTTCTAGATTAGGCTGAGGTTGGAAGTCCCACCCTGAGCATGGATGACCTCATTCCATGGGCTGGGGTCCTGAGCTGAATGAAATGGAGAGAGTGGGGAGATAGTAGTCATTGTTCTCTGCTTCCTGATTATGGGTGCAATGTGACCAGCTGTCTTAAGCTCCTGGACCATGACTTCTCCAACATGACCGATTGTACCCTCAAACCTTGAGCCAAACTGAATCCCTTTTTTCTCTTAGGTATCTATAGTAAATTTTTATTTTTAATTCCACTTTAGATTATCACAAAGAAGTGGTTATATGTAACCTTCTAAACTTTTAGAATCATCTATTGAGATACTAATTTACATAATGAATAACAGATGCTCTAAATGTTCTTACCAACCTGTGTAAAAATATGGAGGATTATTTTGGTAATAATGACTTATCTCTATAACCCTGGTAGATATTTAGACATAATAAAGAAGAAAATTAAATTAATCCTTTACAGTTTATGTGCTCTGGGTAGAATATAAATTTACTAATCTATCTGTCCCCACAACAAAATAGAAGATGCTCAGGCAATTTCTGTCATTTATAAGAGCCCATTAATTACATCTACACCTCCCTCCAGGGCTAAGGACTGAGTCACCAGCTCCTAAACAAAGTTTTTTTATTCCTTTTACTTTAAGGTCCAGAATAAAGTTACCTACTTATTTTTGAGTAAATAAGCAAACTCTGTGTGATGACTGTTCTTGGTTGTCAACTTGACTATATCTGGGATTAACTAAAACCATGTGGCTGGGTACACCTGTGAGGGATTTTCCTCCCTTTAATTAAATCATTTAAAGTGGGAGGATCCACTTCTAATTCAGATCTCTGAGGAGGGAAGACACATTCACCTTTAGTCTGGGCCACACCTTCTGCTGACACCATATATAAAGGTCACGGAAGAAGGAAGCCTGCTCTCTTTGCCTGCTTCCCTTCAATCCTGCTGACAAGTCAGTTACTTCACTGGCACTAGAGCTTACTTCTTGAGGATTCCAGTGTACAGGGAAGACCAGCTGAGACATCCGGTCTCAAGGACTGAACAACCAGTGGACTCCTGGACTTTTCATTAGTAGACAGTAACTGTTGGACTAGCTGGACCACAGGCGGTTACCTACTTCAATAAACACACACACACACACACACACACACACACACACACACACACACACACACACACACACACTCTGTTCATTGAATCAGTTCTATTCTTCTAAAGAACCCTGACTAATATACTATCCTAAGGTCATTTTCTTATTTATAAAATAAACAATATGTCAAGGGATATACGTTAGTGGAAGAGAATGCATTTCACATGCATGGAACACTAGATTTAATTTCCAGCACCAAAAACAAACACACAAACCTAGTGAATGGGTAGTAACTACTAAGACTTTTTTGAAATAATTTCATAACAGTGCTAATGTCTGATAATAAATAATGCATTAAAATGATCTATTAGTGGACCTTCCCTTAGATTCTTATGTATTTTCTGATTGAAAGGGAAAAAGAATTAGCTAGTACACCACTAGTGATTTGTCTTACTCTCATAGTCAACTATAAAGAAAATATACTAATCTGGGACCTTAATGTCTCGATATGTGTTCAAAATTTTTTTGGATGACTTAATCTGTCATTTCAAACTAATCTAGGTTTTGCTTCATGTTGTGGGAAAATAAAGTTATTCCTTGAATCAGGTGGTGGATCCAGTGACTAGTGGACCAGAATTGGCCATAGAGAAGCCAGCAATTTGGATAGAAGAGATGCACAGGAAGGAAAGGGCAGGGTCTGGAGTTTGAGTTCTCTTGGTTCTAGGACAAGGGAAGAGACCACGTATGTCTCTCGTGTCTCAAGCCAAAAAGCAAGATCAGCTAGTTACTACTCAACCTCTCTCAGCTAGTCTGTTTTCACCCTAGCCTTTGACTCCTGAGTCTTACTGATGAACAGAACTATAGAGACTTAATTTAAACCTACATATTGCTGCCATAGCAGAGCCGGGGCCGCAGGACCAGAAGCCTAGCCAGGCGAAGCCCTGAGTGACTGAAGGGGCATTGCCTGAGGGGCCATGGCACAGGAGACCATAATTAAAATGTCAGTAGTTCATAAGCTGACAGTTTCAAGCCAGGACCCAAGCCTTAAGTGTCTGTATAGCTATGGGTGTAATATTATCTGAGATGCACTTAAGCTGAGTCTAGATGGTTGCATTAATACGATTTGCCCTCCTGTATCGTAAATGACAACCATTACTCTTTGGCATATATGTAGAGAATATGCAATAGTGTGGCTATTTCCTCTGGGTTGAGGCAGAGTAGCTATGATGACCCAACTGAGACCCTGACAGGAACCTCTCAAGGCCTGTTCTCCCTAAAACACCAGCTGCTACCACACAACAGGTTAGCAACAAACTCGGGTGACTTTGGCTGGTGTGTCTTCTTGTGAGTCACCCACACTCCCTTAAGTAACTCCAACAAACATGCTGGTTTGTCAAGCTCAACTTGACTAGATTCCTTTGGTTGCTTAGTGTCCTTTAAATCTAGGATTATTATCCATTTCTTTACATCTTTCCAGGAAAGGTTAGTGAACATATGTTAATTCATGTCTATTAGCCTTAACAACAGCTCCAAGTGGTCAGAAATCTGAAAATGAAGAACTTTACAAAAACTAGTAATTTATTCAATAAAGCAGAGTTAAAGAGACACAAAGATGAATCATGTGACCTCCTAACTTGCTACCTCCATAGAGATGTAGTGATATTCACCTAACTATATCTGAATGTGTCTTCTAAAGTATATAATATGCACACGTGGGAAAGCATTCCGAAAACTAACATGACTTTTCTTTTAAAAATATTTGCTTTTGCCATCTTTCAATTACGTGCATATATAGAGGGATGGGAGTGGGTATGTACATTTGAGTGCAGTGACTTTGGAGTCCAGAAGCAGATGTTGGATCCATGTGGGGCTAGGGCTCGTGGTAGCTTATGAGCTGCCCCATGTGGATTCTGGGAAGTAAACTCTGGTCCTCTGGAAGAGCAGTGTATGTTCTTAATTACTGGACATCTCTTCAGCTCTGCATGACTTCTTCAAAGACTTACTTTTTCAATTAACAAAAGTCTCCAATTACAATGTTGAGATACAAGTATCTACACATAAAATCAGAACATTGGCACAAAAAAGACAAAGCCGTAGAACAGAGATAGACCAATGTTTATATGAAGGAATATAGCAGACATCAATAGTGAGCCAATGAAGAAAAGATATGGGACTTACATGATGATGTTAGGAGAACTGTCTAATAGTATAAAGAAAAAGTGAAATTCCCACTTAACACCATATCCAAAGCTTAAATGTAACAGACATAATTATACAGAACAGATAAAATGGTATCTTTGGAAAGTAAGGTAATTCATAGAAAAGGAAACCCAAGAGACTAACAAATATTGTTACAGAAAGACATACAAATTAAAATTAAATCTTCTTTGTTGGTAAAAATTAGAGAGTCAGGAAAGTTCAGAAATTCACTAATTTCTAATGAATGTGTTAGCATTCAGGGAAGCTGCTTGTCAATATTTTGTCAACCTCAGTATAGACATGCCCTAAGGCCTTATGAGGATGTCTTCTGTAACACTATTCTGAATGGGAGAGGCAGTGAATGTGTCATTAAGGAATGTGACTTAAGGAAACGATCTATTCCTACAGATCAAGTGTTTAGATCGACAGTGCAGTGTCCAATATGATAGACACTAGATATATGTGCTATTTAAACTTAAGCAAAACTATCAACTGAGGTGGGGCATGGTGGTTGCATGCCTTTAATCTCAGCACTCAGGAAGCAGAGGCAGGAGGATATCTATGAATGTGTGGGCTAGCCTGGTCTACATAGTGAGTTCTAGGTTAGCCAGTGCTACACAGTGAGGCTGTTTCAAAACAACGAAAACCTAACAACTGAGTTCCTCAGTTACACCACCCTCATGTGCTCCCGGGTTTATAACAGTAGCACGGACTTGGAATTCATCCCCTTTCTACCATGCAGGAAGTTCTAGTGTATGGCGCTACTCTCCAAGAACACAAGGCTACTCAACAAGACAGGGTTCTCAGAAGCACTGCCAAGAAACAGGAAACAGCCTTAAGAATGACAAATATGACCACATGAAATCAAAATGTTTCTGCAAAACAAATAAAACTACAAGCAAAGTGGCAAGACAGCTAACAGACTGGGGGGGGGGGAACTTAGCCAGCTATAATTTATAAAGTGGTTAACATCTAGTATAAAGAACTAAAAAAATCTAAACACACAGACACAGACAGACAGACAGACAGACAGACACACACACACACACACGAGACCCCCTCCCCAACTTCCAAGCAATACATGGTGAAATGAACTGAATAATCAGTACTAAACATACAGACACAGACAGACAGACAGACAGACACAGACACAGACACAGACACAGACACACACACACACACACACACACACACACACACACACACGAGACCCCCTCCCCAACTTCCAAGCAATACATGGTGAAATGAACTGAATAATCAGTACTAAACATACAGACACAGACAGACAGACAGACAGACAGACAGACACACACACACACACACACACACACACACACGAGACCCCCTCCCCAACTTCCAAGCAATACATGGTTAAATGAACTGAATAATCAGTTCTGGAAAGAAGAAACAAAGCAGTTAAACCATATTTTTAGAAGACTACATGATTGCCTTTCATATTTTAAGTTACTGTATTGTCCTCGCCATAGAATTATTTGGTAAGATACAGCAAAGTCTTAAAATGGAATCAGATCGCTTACATCACTTAGGAAAAAGTGATTGCAATTTAATTTTTCGTAGTTCCTTCTATTTTATTCAACCACTAAAAGCTGCAAACAACGATTTCTAGCAATCACGTATACTGGTAAGATGAAAACGTCCGTCTATTGCTCAAGGAGGAGTTTTTGTAGGAATTAATTAAAACATCCTGAAATAATGCCTCTGAAAGTTGAAAAAAAATCTAAAACGTGTACTGCTCAGTAAGTTTTTTTTTTTTCTTTCACCATTTCTGTACCGGTCTCAAACAGACGGAATTCATTTTTCAGGTAAAATAATACAGTCGGCTACGGTGGCCCACACCTTTAATCCCAGCACTCCAGAGGCAGAGACGGCCAGATCCCTGTAAATTCGAGGTCAGTCTGTTCTACACAGCGAGTTCCGGGATAGCTAGGGGTTACTTTTGCCTAACGACAACAGAAAGATCCAACAATAAGTCATGGGTTAAGGTGACAGCGTGCAAAACGAACTTGCCCAACCAGGCCTGAGGATCCAGCCTGGCGATTGATTACCTGGAGAACTTGACAGTGCCACCGAGTGCAGTGCCCGGCTCGTGACGCAGGAGCCACACCGCCCGCTGGGCCATGGCGAGCCACCCGAAGCGTCAGATCCTCGCCGGGACGAGGGTCGCCGGCCAGCCAGCCGGAGCAGATCCGCCCGCTGGACGGACTCTTGCAGCGAGCGTCGGAGCTCACCCCGCGCCGCCAGAGCTCACGGGAGAGGCTCGCGGCTCGCTGATTCCTCGGGTCTCCCCAGTCCCTCCAGCCGGCCAACAACGCACACCCCCGACGGCCCTACGCCCCGGCCCCCGGAACCTGCGCTCCTCCGCCTCCCACTTCCGGGACGGCGGCCCGAGAGGCTCAAGGCGCGCCGCTCGCTCGCTCGCTCGCTCGCTGGCTGGCTGGCCGACGAGCGTCTCCGCGGCCCGCCCCGCCGGTCGCTCCTCTCGCCCGCCCCGCCAAGTCCGCCGAGCGCGCGCAGCGCCACTTCCGGCGTGCGAGGCGGTGACAATGGGAGCGGCGCGGGCGGCGCCGGGAGGCAGCTGACAGGCGTCTGCGGCGGCTCCGCTTCATGGCCGCTGTCCCGCGCAGCCTGCGCGGTGTGGGGACCCGGGCCGCGCTCGGTGGTCTGCAGCCGGGGCCGGAGGCGGTAGGGCCGAGCCGGGACGCGTGAGCCGCGCCGCTGAGGCGCAGCATGTGAAGCGGAGACGGCCTCGAGCGCGGGGCGAGCCTCTCAGCCGGCCGGCATGGCCACGACGGCCGAGCTCTTCGAGGTGGGTCCCCCCCGGGGGCTCCGCGGGCGGCGGCGGGGCGGGGACGGAGCCGGGGCCGGCGGGACGGACGCTGGGGGCCCCGACGTTCCGGCCGCGCGACGGGGAGTGGGCTGGGCTGACTCGGGCGCCCGAGGTGGGCGAGCCCGGGTCTCGCTGCTGCTGCTGCGGGGGTGGGGGACACCTGATCGGGGGACTCTGGCAGGCTTCTCCCCGGGGACGTTCCTACAGGGTTAGAAGCGGCGCCGGGGGCCCTGCCTGCTCGCTCCGCTCACAGTCTGCGAGGCTGGGAGGATCGTTTGCAGGACCGTAAAGGCCTGCTCAGCCTCACCAGCTCAGCCCCGCGTTTAATTGCCCTCCCTGCCCCACCCAGCTGCTGGTTAAGAGATTCCTTAAGGGGCGACTGGCTGTGGGCGTTCGGATGCGTGTCCTGAGTGTTTCGATGTTTAAACTTGAAAATTGCCTTTGATGGTGTTCATTGTAAGGAGCTGTGATGTTTGAGATGGTGGGATGGGCGTTACAAAACAGTGAAACGGTATTTCCTTATGTGGGGGAAAAAATAGAAGTAGAGGTATGGAGAAAAATGAAGGATACGCCTCATCTCCTTCTTTGGGGCGTGACTACTTCGTGTCAACAGAAGTGTAAGTTGTGGAGAACCCTGCGGTTCACAGTTACGAATGTCACCACGGGTGAAAATTGTGTTCTTTTGGTTTGAGTAGATTGTGGCATGAAGTTTAAATGCCGTGGTTTCCATAACAAAGTAAAAATTTTTCACTGTTACTTTTTTGTTGCTATATCTTGGCTTGCAGTCATCCCTAACATGCATACTGCGTTTCGTCGGAGAAAAAAGTGTGCTTAAATTGTCAAGTTATAATGAAAGTGATTTGAGTGAAGTGTTATAATCCCACTTATGATCAATTTACTGCTTTTTCTCAGACATAAGTGGAGATATATGTTATTGTCTCTAGTCACAAAATTCTGCCATCTGTTTATTTACAGTAGGCCAGGGAAACATCTTAGTCCTCTGAACGTTTACTGTGTATCCTAGATCAAAGTACTAGGTAGTTTTGTAATCCCTTGTGTATATCTTTGCATCTTTACAGGATTTGGGATATTAACAGAAAACCACAACATTATTACTGTTATAATGAGTTCTCTTTGACATTCATAGTTTGGTCTTGGATCAAGCTCTATTTCCTTCTTTAAATGTATGACCAGATGAGTCCAGTAACTCATTTAAAAATGTGTTTTTCTTTCCCAGGGATGAAGAAATGTATGTTTGTTCTCTAGGTCTTGCCATTTACTAGACTTGTTAAAGTTGCTTAGCTTAGTGAGACTAGTTCTGAGGTAGCTGTTGAGGAAGCCAATGATGATACAGTAACCAGAAGTTTCTTAAGACAAATAAACATATCGATAGGTCTTATAACCGGAGTGACCCCTGCCCCTGTCATATGTATCTTGTCTCTTCAAAATTGAAAACATAATAATAGTTACACTGAAATACCAGTTGTGGATAACTAAGAAGTCTATTTGTCTTTTTCCTGGATGGCTGTGAGTCTAACCCTGTAAGGACTCTGCTGGTGAATAAGCCTTCATTCCCCAAGTGAAAAATTGAGAGAGGGGGAGATAACAAAAGGCCTGTAGCCTCTGCTGCCATTTCCTGTAGCTACTGCCATAAATACAGGTTGCAGATCTCCTACTTCCCTTTCTAAGTCACAGCTGGAGAATCCGGGGAAACGGGACAGGATGTAGTCAAGGATATTTTGTTTTTATGCATCCTGGTTTTCACGTACTATTAAATAGAATTGTACTTTCATTTACCATATTAGAGAAATGGAAACAAAGTTGAGCTCTGAACCCATGAATTTCATTGTTAACTCATCTTCTTGTAAAAATCTAATTATTGGTTTGGTGACTCATCTTTTTTACCAGACAACTTCTGACGATAAAATCAAACTTTAGAATCTCTCATCAGTTGACAGAATGATTTATTAAAAGATGACTCAGTAACTGAAATAATGTATGTCCTGGAAGTTACCCAGAGTTCCTTCTTAGTTTCATTTCTTGTTGACAGATCTTTCTGAAAGAATCCATCTGTTGTGTTTTTAAACAATAAAATCAGGATGGCCTAGCTGAACTGAGATTCCTCAGTGGTTTGGATTAATGATATATTCAGCGTATTTAAAAAATGGCTTGAGTGGTAAATATTTTTCCTGTTGCTGCAGACACTGCTCTTCTATTTGTACTGCTGATACTTTCTTATTCCTTTGATGAATGTCTCCCCTGTCGCTCTTACAGATCCTTCCCATTTCTCTGGGCAGGTTACATTTTATAGGGTTAAAAAGTAGGGTCAGTTATTCATTCAGGAAATATTTTTGAGTACCCATCAACTTCAAGATAAAGTACTAAAATTAACAACACTACATGTCTCATCAGAAATGCCACAGAAACTTCATTTATGCATTGATACAGCTGACATTCCAGGCATTGGGCTTAAAAGATCACGAGTAAAATTGTGGATGGGGTAGATAGATGTCGTGCAGAGGGAGGGCAGACTCCTCTGTCCTGGGATAATTAGGAAAGGTGAGTTAGGTATTGATAAGATGAATGGAAACTTCATGCAGGAGAGAGGAACTCTATCTAAGGCAGTGACAGAGATAACTCCGATTTGTAAGGTGAAGGGTGTTTAGGAAATACTGAGACAAGGGAGAGGGGTGTGTGTGTGTGTGTATGTGTGTGTGTGTGTGTGTGTGTGTGTGTGTGTGTGTAGGGAGTAGTGGCTCAAGGCAAGTCTTGGAGATGATAGGAGTTTGAGGAAGTTTTGAGAAAGCCTTTGTAGATCATGCACAAAGGAACTAATAACTTTTCCCTAGTAGGCTCAAGTGAGTCATATGACCATGTTAGTGTGAAGATTGGCTGGCCTTCAGTGGGGGTTAGAGATACACAGTCTGCCACTGTCGTCGACATCTGTCCTTGTCATTTGGTAATCCTTCCAGAATTGTCTGTTGTTGATTGACTAACCTAATTTAATAGGGACAGAAAAGTCAGAGGACTTAGGGAGACATTTTGGAAAGAGAATTCGGTTACTAAGAAGTTAATTCATGTCTGTGAAGTTGGGAAAGTTGGTAATTAATGATATATTAGCTGCAGCAAAGAAAACTGGTAGGACCCTTTCGGGGAGAAGACATAATATATTAACTTTAAGTATATATCAAAGAGAGAAGGAATGCATTTTTTAAGTATGTTAGGCTGCATCTAGTGGTACTTGTCAATAACCCCAGCTACTATAGAGACCACTGCAGGAGGATTGCTACTTCAAGACCAGCTAGGGGCCACTTAGATTCTTGTCTCAAAATAAACAAAGCAACAACAAAAACAGGCTGAGGATATGCTGAGTGCCCGACTAGCATACAGAGGGCTCTGGGTTCAATCCCCAGTATTTCAAAAAGGAGGGAAAAAAAGGTATAGATTAAAGCTAGGTGTTGTAGCACATACCTGTAATTGCAGGAGTCGGGAGATGGGCAGGAGAATCAGGAGTTCAGGATAAACCTGATTACAGAGCGAGACCCTGTCTGAAAAAGCCAGAAATAAACACAGCTAAAACAACAAAAAGTTTCAGGACAGCCTCCAAAACAACACAGAGAAATCCTGTCTCGAAAAAATAAATAAAAGAAAGGAAGGAAGAAAGAAAGGATTGCGTTATGTGGATAATAACTTAGACCTGGGATGGATGACATCTCTCAACTGTACATCTCAGTAGTTGGGTGGTCTGAGCAAGTTACCTGTTGTCTTTGTACCTGTTTTCTCATCTGTAAAAGAAGGTTATTTTGAAGATTTCTTTAAGTTTCTATTTCAGGGGGGAAAAAAACCCTGAAGACTTAACTTAAATTTGATAAACTACTTAGAAGAATGGCAGTTGCTTTGAATTTAAGTGGATTAGTAGGACAGGAGGGACCTGGCATGGTAGGCAGTACATACTTGTGATTCTGGTGTCGAGGTTGCAGAGCAGAAAGGGTGTGAGTTTGAAGCCAGCGTGGTCTATATAGCAAGTTGCCCAAGCCTTCCAAAGTAGACTGAAAGTAGTCAGGCAGAGTGATAGCAGATTACAAAAAGGGACTGTGGAAGGTTATATTACTCATGATGCCTACAACAAGGTCTGTCACCCCACAGTGTGACTTACACTCATCCTCTTGGGTCTGTGCTGTTTTGTGAATCTGAAAATTTGAAGAAAGGCATTTACAGGGGGTGCGGAAGCACACACATAGCAACAGACCAGACAAAAAGACTCTTCTCAAAGCAGAAGTGGAACTCGGAAAGCTAAACAAAAATCCCTCTAATGTATTAAAACTCAGTAATTTCAGCTTGATCCAACTGAAAAAATTAGGACAAAATTTTGAGCTATCTTCTATTGTCCTCATTTCTTGGAATTGAAATAAGAAAGAAATGAGATGAAAGAGTTGGGCTAGGGTGATATTTAAAGACCATTCCTGCTTTAAAAG